CCAGGAGGTACGTTGCAGTGTTTTATACACTTGATCACCCTCTAATTTTGAATGTTCATGACGTTACTCTCTCTTGGTTCTCGCCCTACCTTTTGGACTGCTCCTTTTCACTCTCCTTTGCTAGGTCAGCCTCCATGTCCTACCCCCTAACTGGGTGTCCCCAAAGCTGTGACCGAGGCCCTCTTCTCTTCTCTCTCCTTTCTCATTTGGTCATCATCTCCCAGGGGTTTAATTAGCATCTCTGTGTGTATTGACTCCCACATCTACAGATCCAGCCCCAAGCTTCTGAGCTCTAGTCCCTTTTGGACATTTTGAACTGGATGACCTGGAGGTCTTTCAAACTCAACACGTCCATAATAGAACTCATTATCTTTCTCCCTAAGCCCACTCCTTTTCCCAACTTCCTATTTCTGTTGAGGGTACCACCATCCTGCCAGTCATCCAGATTTGCAACCTTGGGGTCATCCTTCTTCGCCTCACATTCCCATCGCTTCCCCCGTCTACTCATTTCTATCGCCACATCTCCTTTATCTGTCCCCTACTCTTTCCTCACACAGCCACCATGCTTGGTCAGGCCCTCATCACTTCTTCAGTTATTTCAAGAGTTTCTTTGTTGGTCTCGCTGCTTCAAGGTTTAGCCCTTTCCACCCCATCTTCCACATTGCTGCCAAAGTACTTTTGTAAAGCATAGGTCTGACCATGTCACACCCCCATTCGGTAAATTCCAGTGACTTCCTATTGCCTTTAGTATCAAATGCCAACTCCTCTGGCATTTACAACTTGACTTCAAATAGATTGATGAATTGAAGTGAGGAAGACTTGAGGCAGGGATGCAATTAGAAGACTATGTATTGCAGGCCTGCATGACATACTGCCCACCAAAAGATTTTGGGCAGCCTGGACTGCACATTCTCTCCTGTTTGTCACGTGACCTACAGCAAACAACCATTATCAGTCTGTCTTTACTTGGAAAGTGAGCTGTAAAAAACCTATCCGCCGAAGAAGTTTAGCCTATTTTAATTTTGGTCCCTACCTACTGCCAAGTTGTGCAGGTCTGATGTATTGTATAGCCCAGGCAAGAGGTGATAAGGAATTGAACATACAATTTACTTATTAATCGCCCTGTGATTTATTTAAACAGTAAGGTGACTTAAAAAGTGATAGCTTAGCAAAGCAAAAACAAAAATCAAAAACAACAGAACTATAAAGATTCGTTGGAATTGGAAGTTAGTAATAATAATAATTGAGGCAGCTAGGTGGCATAATGGCTAGAGTGCCAGGCATGTAGTCAGGAAGACTCAGCTTCCTGAGTTCAAATCTGGCCTCAGACACGTACTAGTTGTGTGACCCCAGGGAGGTCACTTCACCCTGTTTGCCTCAGTTTCCTCATCTGTAAAATGAGGTGGAGAAGGAAACAGCAAACCACTGCAGTATCTTTGCCAAGAAAACCCCAAATGGGGTCATGAAGAGTCAGACATGACTTAACAACAATAATAATAATGAATAATAACTAACATTTACATAGCACTGACTATGTGCCAGGCACTGTGCTAAGCACTTTTACAATTATCTTATTTAATCCTCATAATAAATTTACACTGAATCTACTGGGCAGGATCAATTCCCTTGGCCCCCTATTTCCACCCAGCCAACAAAATGGGGGAAAGACGACATTTTCTGAATGGGACTGTCTTGCTTTTCTTATTTGCATCCCCAACCTTTAGCACTTAATCTGCTTAATAAATGCTTTTTCACTGATTTATTCATTCAACCATTCCCCTAAAAATGGGCACTCATTTTGTTTCTAGTTCTTTGCTATGACAAAAGTGCTACGATGTAGAGAGCTTTCCTGTCTGAGTTCTTTGGGTTCTGGGGCTCTTAGTGGCAGCTTGGGGACAAAGGATCATCCCATCTGAGGGACGTATATAGTCCAAATTGCTTTCCAGGATGGCAAGACCAATTCACAGCTCACCAGCAATTCACTATTGCGCCTTTCCCACCCAACCTTTCCAATTATCCTCTCCTTCCTTTTGGATTATCATTGTTACTATGGCAGGTGTGAGGCAGAATCTTAGAGCTGCCTTATTTCTATTTCTTTTCTGTTAGTGATTTGAACCATTTTTTCAGATGATGATAGATAGGTTGGATTCCTTCCTTTGAGAACTGCTTGTTTACCATTTCTATATTGGGGATCCTTAGGTTATTTTTAAACATTTTTTGTTTACCTGTGGTTTATCAGTTCAGTGCTGCATTTTACTAAGGGTAAGTCCTTCATGTTTACTGCTAGGTGGCAGTTTGGGGGCTAAAGGGCAACATAGATAATTAGTGATGTGTTACAGTGGAAAAGAGCACTCGGAGGACGTTGGTTCAAATCTTACCACTGATAGTCAAATTACTTCACCTCCTTAGGTCTCAGTTCCCTTATCTGTAAAATGAAGGGGTTAAAACTACATGACCTTTGAGGTCTCTTTCAGCTCTAGAGCTGTGATCTATGAAAAAATATTCTCTTTCCTTCCATTTGACAGTTGAATTCCAACCCTTCTTTTGTGATGGAAATCTTTCATTTTCCTTTTATTACATTTTATTATACCATTTCTCATAGATATTCAGTTGTTTCCTGTTAATGTTAACCTCACTTAGCTAAAACCTGAATCATGGGATGATAGAATTAAGGGAAGACTTTTTGACATGCTTCAAATAAGGAGAGTTTGAGCTTACCCAAAGTGATTTAGCTATTTGTGGAAGAATTCTGACTCTGAAGGCATGGAAAGGGCATTAGGGCAACTAGGTGGTGCAGTGGATAGAGGGCTGGGCATCTTCTTGAGTTCAAATATGGTCTCAGACACAAGCTGTGTGACCCTGGGCAAGTCACTTAAATCTGTTTGCCTCAGTTTCCTCATCTGTAAAATGAGCTGGAAGGGAAATGGCAAATCATTCCAGCATCTTTGCCAAGAAAACCCCAAATGGGTTCATAAAGAGTCAGACATGACCGAACAACAACTCATTATGTCCGTATCTGCCCTGTCAATCAGCCCACTGTGAACCCTCTAGGTGTAGTTTAATCTGTAACCTGACTTAGTTTACCTATAGAATTTGTTTAACTAGGTTTGTTTCCTTAGGGAATGTATGCAATTATGATTCTGCTTAATTAAGTTTGTTCAGTTTTTATGACATTGAAGGAAGCTTGGGATAATGACTGTCTTTTTAATTTTTATAGTCTAAAAAGAATGTATCAGATTATAATATGTAAAATAATTTATTTCTCTGATTTTCTCTATGAAAACTTGTTGGAAATTCCACTTTGGGTTCAGGGTTATTTTTCTGAATCCTGAACATGTGCTTAAGCATAATTAAACCTCTGTTTCTATCGCTATAATTTCTGCTGTCAGCAGAGAATAAAATGCAGAACTGAAAAAATAGACAAAGAAGTTTATTAAGTTGTCTGGCAGTGGGAAGAGCTGAAAAGGGCGCCGACTCTCCCCACTCTCTGTTGAGTTATACAAACAAAGGAATGAAGAAACAAAAGCCGATTTGCCAGCAGAGTGGAAGTTTTTAGACAGGACAGATGGGTTGCTTGAGATGTGCATAAGGAGAAAACTCATTACATCAGTCTTTGGATCTGGTTCCCCTGGGAGGTTTCTGGGGTCAGTATCATCTGGAGTCCTGAGTTCAGTAAGCATTAAACAAATCTGATCCCTAAGCAACAGGTCTGGTCTCTCAATCATGCCAGGCTAGGCTCAAACAGTACAGTAAAATGTTCCCACGTTGCGTTGTGGTGGTAGATTTATTTGGCAGTCTTGCCTTAGCACGTGAACTAGATGTTTCTCCTGCAGTACTTTTAAGGGCCAACCCAGGCGCCATTTCCTTCAGGAGGCCTTGAAGGTTGCCTCCGTCAGGAATAGCTGTACGCCTCATGTGTGCGTCTATGGACACGCCTCTTTCCCTGTTAGTCTATAGACTTCTGTAAAATATGCAGTCAAAAGAGTACAGACATTTTAAATATTGGGGTCTCCTAACCCATTGGGGAATGTAAGCCCCATGAAGATGGGCCACTTTCTTATCTAGATCTCTTGTCTTTCCTAGTGCCTAGTGTAGTGATCTGCACACAGAAGTCACTTAATAAATGCTTATCAAATTTAACTGAACCTTTTGGGGGCTGCCCTCCTCTCCTGGGGAGCTTCCCTGGGCTCTGGGCTTGGGGAGGGAGGGGATGACCTTTGTCCCCCACAAAAGACACATCTTTCAAGCTGAAATGTTTACCCTTGGGCTCATCTTTGACACATCCAAAGAGAGCCAATATCAGAAGGATTCCCCCTCAGAGACGGGCCCTAGGTCCCTGTAGAGTCCCCAGCAGGAGTCCCCCAATAACCACGGGGTGGGCCCAGGGCAATCCTGTGGTTAACATGGACACTAGGGCCAAGGGACCCAAGGTTAAGAAGTCCAGGGGGCTGTGCCCAAGCAATCCTGTGCACGCCTGCACATCAGATCCTCGGCTTTGCCTCAGATACCCACGGAGCCTTATTCCAGCTTATTCCAGTACAGGGCCTGGTGTATAGTAGGCGCTTAATAAATGCTTGTTGCTTCCCTGGATTGACTGGCTTATTTGCACAGATTCACAGAATGCCCGGTCACACTCTGGGTGAGGACCTTCACCCTGAGACCATGAGGGGCCAGGAAAAGTGACTCATTGACAGGTCGGTTTGCACCAGGGTTGCAAACTGCCCAGGTGGGTTTTCTTTTGTTTTTTTGGTTGGGGCTTGGGTTGGTTTTGGAAAGGAGGACCGCCGAGACCTCTGGGAAATGAAGACTGGCAATCCCACACCAGGGCAAGATCGATGATAGGGAACTCGGGCTCCCCTGTCCTTGGTCTGCGCCTGCGCGGAGGTAGGCTGAGGACTACATTTCCCAGAATCCGCCGCAGTCACCAGACTCCGTTTCCCAGAATCCCTCGGAACGTGCCGGCGCTGCTCACCGCCCCTCGGCGCCAACCAGCCCAGTGCGGACCGAGCGTTTCGGAGCCCGGAGGCGTTGGAGGCTCAGTGAAATCGAGGCTAGGTCGGGCCTTGGTGCGTGGGGCGGCTCGGAGGGACGAGCGAGGAGCGAGGGGGTCAGTGCGCAGGCGCGGACACGCAGGCTCCGCTCGGGCTGGGACGGGGTGTTTTGCGTGTGCGTAGACGTGTGAATTGGGGGCCGAGGGGGCTCCGTGGGGCCCAGGCCAGTGTCCCAGGGGGAGCAGGAGGGGGTAACCCCCAGACGCGGCCGCGCCTGAGCCCGGAGCCGTACATCATAGCTCCAGCCCCGCCGCCACTGCCGTGGAACGCCGGCTCTACGTGCGCGCTCCCACCCCACCCCGCCTCCTGCGTGCGCGCCCCCCATCCCCCCGCCTCTTGCGTGCGCGAGCCCGCGGGCGTTAGAGGGACGGCGCTGGGAAGCGCCCTGGGTGCGCTCATCTCCCACCTCCAGACCTTTGCCCCGGCTGCCCCCTCCCCCATGCCTGCAGTTCCTGCCTTCTTGGCCCTGGCTGGCGCCACCTCCGCCCCTCGCCTTTCCTGACCCCTCCCCTTACCTGTATTTACTGGGGAGCGTTGTGGTAGTGGCTGGGGGAGGGAGTCCGGCCTGCATGCCCTCCGGAGCAAAGGGAGCTGGAGAGACCCCATCCCCAGAGGCCTTGAGTGCCTCTCCCAGAAGGGGTCCGCGGGGTGCCTGGGGTCTCCCTCTTTGGCCCGGGAGGGGTTCTGGGGTGGGGGTGGGGGCTGTGCTGGGCCCCGGCCCCCTTCTTCCTTCCCTGGGTTCAGCTTTGGACTGCGCCTTTGTTTGTCGAGGGCGGCCGGGTGGTGCAGGGGGTAGTGCCCGGCCTGGAGCCACCCCCCTGAGCTCAGAGCTGGCCCAGGGACTAGCGGTGAGGCTTTGCCTCAGTTCCCTCCTTTGTCAAGTGAGCTGGAGCAGGAAACGGCCGTGGCTGCCCGGCCCACCGGGCCAGCCAGGACTGATCAACAAGAACGTGTGACCTTGGACAAGTCCCTCTAGCTGGCTCCACAGCGCTTCCTCAGTTAACACGAAGAGGGGCAGCCGTTCCCCCTTCCACCCGCTTCTGCCCCTGCGTTTCTTCTTCAGGTGCTTCGTGCGGAGCCCTCCCGGCACTGGCTTGGGTTTGCATCTGGACTGTCTAGGCCCATGAGGGCCAAAGCTGTGCCCTTGGAGCGTGGCTGTTCCCCTAACCCAGGGGGCCTTGAGTCCAGGCCTCGGCCAGACTGCGGGTCTGGGAGCAGCCCGACAAGCTTGCACAGGCCCTTCCGCAGGAAGGCCCCGGGAGGACGGGCATCTACCGACAGGGGATACCGAGGCAGAAGTGATGTAGGCTGTGCCCCAGAGGGACTTGAATCCTTATGGGGGAGATAACGTGCGCGTGGATGTAAAATACATGGAAACCAATAATCATCATCATCATCATCATCATCATGACAGTTGACATTGATAGAGCGTCTCCTATGTGCCAGGCACTGGGGAAGCACTTTACAAATATTATTTCATCTGATCCTCACAACCCTGGGAGGGAGGTGCCATTCAGTTCAGTTCAAGCACTTTTCAGTCTTGCAGGACTCTTTGTGACCCCATTTGTGGTTTTCTTGGCAAAGATGCTGGAGTGTTTGCCATTTCCTTTTCCAGCTCATTTTACAGATGAGAAAACTGAGGCCAGCAGGGTTAAGTGGTGTGCCCAAGGTCACATGGGGGTAAGTGTCTGGGGCCAGATTTGAACTCATGTCTTACTGACTCTGGGCCCAGTCCTCTAACGAGCTAGCTGTCCAAAGCAGGTATGAGGTAATGGGGGAGGGAGCAGTAGCAGCTGGGAGGGACCAGGGGCTCTTGAGCTTCATCTTGAAGAAAACGAGTGATTCCTTGAGAAGGGAGCATCCTGAGTGTCAGGGAAAGGCATGGAGGCTGGAGATGGGGTCCTGTGCAAGGCCAGTACAAGCTGTGTGCAGGGGGTAGTCAGGTTGGAAAGGGAGAGTGGGACCAGACTGTGGAGAGCTTTCAATGCCCAACAGAGGAGGTTAAATTTAATCCTGGAGGTACTAGGGAGCCACTGGAGTTTGGGGGGGGTGGTGACATGGTCCAATCTGCTTTGCTGCATGGAGAAAGTCCGGGTAATGAATTAGGAGAGAGGCTGAAGGCAGGGAGGCCAGCTGGGAGGCCCCCTAGAAGGCTATTGGTTGTTTGAGCTCAGGAGTATCCACCTAGATGAAATCACAAATACTTTTGAAATATGTAGGCCCAGCTATATAGGCATCCCCCATTTTATTGCATGTCGAAGCTATTACATTTTTTTTTTAAACAAATTGAAGGTTTGTGGCAACCCTGAGTCAAGCAAGCACCATTTTTCCAACAGCATGTACTCACATTGTGTCTCTGTCACATTGGTAATTCTTGTAATATTTCAGACTATTATTATTATTATTATCGTATCTGTTCCAGTGTCTGTGATGAGTGATCTTTGAGGTTACTGTTGTTACTGTTTTGGGGCACCATGAACTGTGCCCATATAAAGCGTCGAGGTTAATCGATAAATGCTGTGGGTTTTGGTTGCCCTACTGACTGGGCCTTTCCCCCATCTATCTCCCTGTTCCCTGAACCACAGCAGCATTGAAATTAGGCCAATTAATAACCCTACAATGTTTTCTAAGAGTCAATCCATATAGCAGCTTCACTGTTGTCTTATTTTAAGAAATCGCTGCAGCCACCCCAACCTTCAGCAGCCACCACCTCGATCAGTAAGTAGCCATGGACATTGAGGCAAGACCCTCCACCAGCAAAATGATTAGTTCTCTCTGAAGACTCAGGTGAGGGTTAGCATTTTTTAGCAATAAAGCATTTTAAAATTAATTGTTTTTTTAGATATAATACTATTGCATACTTAGTAGACTACAGTGTAGTGTAAACATAATTTTTGTATACACTGAGAAACCAAAAAAAAGAGTTACTCTATTGAAATATTTGTATTATTGTGGTGTTCTGGAACTGAACCCTCAGTATCTCCAAGGTATGCCTGTACACTTGTATACTGTGATTAGTTGGAAAGAATGCTATACTTCATGTCAGGAGACATCTGGCTTTAAAAGTCCTTTCTCCAGCACTTGTAAGTATGCCCTTGGACAAGTCCTGACAGCCTCAGACATTTGTTATTTGCGTAACCCTGGGCAGGTCACTTAACTTCTGTCTGTCTCAGTTTCCTCAATAAATGAAAAATGGGGATAAAAGTAGTACTTGCTTCCCAGGGTTGCTGCTGTGAGGATCAAAGGAAATGATATTTGTAAAGTGAACGCGCTATGTCAATACTGCCACCACCAGCAAGTTAAAAGGCTTCCAGTTCCATCTGGGGGATGAACTATACGTGCCTGGTTTCTGAGAACTCGCCATCCTTAGCATGGAGAAGAGATTCTCCACGGAAGGTTGGCCAGTCAGTTAATTAACTGACTAATAATTAAGTGCCCCAAGCACTGTGCTGAGCAGTTGGGATACAGAGACAGTCCTCCCCCTTGAGGCACACACAAGCCGTGAAGACAGCGATGTACAAGCAGGCTCTAAACAGGATAACCTGAATAAACAGGACGTGCTGGCATGCCTGGGGCTCAGGAAGGACTTTCAGCAAAAGGGACTTGGAAAGAGATGAGGAGGAGGGAGGGAGACCATTCTAGGCATGGGGCACAGATGGTGAAAATGTCCAGAGCCAGGAGAAAGGATGGAATGAGCACCTGTCATCTTCCTGCCACCGCTAGAAGCACTTCCACAAATAGCTCATTTGATCCTCGCCACAACCCGAGTCTCCGAGGTCCTTCCTGAAGGGCATCCTGGCCCGTTCTCTGGCCTCGGTCTTCCTTGTGGGGCCTGGGCTCTGGACATCAGAGACATAGTCGATCGAAGCCGCCAGCTAAAAAATCCTGGCTTTTGAATCCCCGTATTGCAGCTTTCTGGGACTGTGAAGTTAGCAGAGCTAACTCATCCAACCCCTCATAGAGGACCTTCCTGCCCTAAGGCCTTCCTCGGGATTTCAGGGCCTAAGCTGATGGGGAGGAATGGATCATTGAGCCGATAATGCTGGCTATTTCTGACCTTCCAGCCTGGGGGACATCAAGGAAACGGTGAAAGGGGAGAATTATACCACTGTGGTTGTGGGGAGGGGAAAGAGGTCATGTGTACAGTTCATTGTGGGAGAAAAAGAGATCTCTAAAGGGAGAGGGTGGGAACCTCCCCACCCTACCTTCCCCCTCCCTGTGGGACATATAAGCTGTGTTGCCAACCTTCCTGCCATCTCTGTGCCAGCCTAATGTTGCCTCTTCAGTTCACCTGCCTTAGCTCCCCGCCCATCCCAAAGCCCTTCCCTCCACAGTTTTGTGCCCTGACTTTGGGGGTCTCTGCCATCCATCACTTCATTTCTCGACTCTTTTCGATCCATTTCCTTGTGGTGCCTTCATGAGAGCCAGTAGGTGGGTCAGTCAGGCATTGCCGTAGTCCCTGTTTGGCAAGGTGGAATTCAAGTATCAGAATTTCAGCGTCTGGCTGGTCATTAGTAGCAAAGCTGGAACCAGAATCCAGGGCAATTTATACCTCCTTCTGTCCCATTTCCACCAGTCTGTTCTGACTAGACAAAGAAGCAATAGTGTATACAGGCATACCTTGGAGATATGGAGGGTTCAGTTCCAGACCACCACAGTAAAACAAATATTTCAATAAACAGAGGCACACAGACTTTTTGGTTTCTCAGTGTATATAAAAGTTATGTTTACACACTATACTATAGTCTATTTAAAGTCTGCAATATCATGTCATAAAGGACAACTTACATATCTTAATTTAAAAATGCTTTATTGCTTAAAAGTACTAATCTTCACCTGAGCTTTCAGACAGTCCTCAGCTTTTTGCTGGTGGAGGGTGTCGCCTCAATGTCGACGGCTGCTGGCTGATCAAGGGGGTGGCTGCTGAAGGTTAGGGTGGCTGTGGCAATTTCTTAAAATAAGACGACAGTGAGGTTTGCCACCTGGATTGACTGTTCCTTTCACTTGAACACTTAGAGGCCATTGTAGGGTTATTAATTGGCCTGATTTCAATATTGCTGTGGTTCAGGGAACAGAGAGAGATGGGGGAACGACCCAGTTGCTGGAGCAACCGGAACACACAACATTTATCAATTAAGCTCCTTGCCTTATATGGACACAGTCCGTGGTGCCCCAAAATGATTACAATAGTAACGTCAAAGCTCACTGACCACAGATCACCATAACAGGTAATAATAATAAAGTTTGAAATATTGCAAGAATTAACCAGAATGTGACCCAGAGACATGATGTGAACACGTGCTGCTGGAAAAATGGTGCCAGTAGATTTACTCAGGGTTGAGACGGACCTTTAATTTGTAAAAAATGCAATGTCTGCAACGCACAGTAAAGTGAAGTGCCATGAAACGAGGTATGCCTGAATGTAGTAGATGGGGTCCTGGCCTTGGAAAGCCAGGAAGAGCTGGGTTCACTAGTAATGATGATAATAATAGCTAGCATTTATATAGCACTTTGATGTTTTCAGAAGCACTTTACAAAAATTATTTTACTTGATTCTCACAACAGCTCTGGGAGGTTGGAGCTGTTATCCTCTTTTTACAGATGAGGAAACTGAGGCAGGCAGGTGAAGAGACTGGCCTAGGGCCTCTCTCACACACACCCCCTACTAAATGTGTTTGACGCTGGATTTGAACCCAGGCCTTCCTGACTCCAGGCCCAGGACTCTCCATTGCGCCATGTAGTAGCCTGATCAAGTCACGGGTCTGATGCACACTGGCTTTGTTCCCCTGGACAAGTCACTTAGCTGCTCTTTTCTCAGGGCAGCTCTCTAAAATGGTAGAAGTTGCTGAGAGGGTGCTGCATTGCTAGGGGGAGTTCCTGTGTCCATGAAGTCAGAGATTCAGGCCCTCTCCTCCTCACACTGACTGCAGTAGGAATTTGGGGCGGCTCCTGTGAAGGAGTTTTCTCTGAAGAACCAGCAGATGGATTCTTCACACGTGCTGTGAGAAGGGGAAGGTCTCAGAGGGATGAAGACGTGATGCAGGCAAGGTGACCTTCAGCTGTAACACTGAGGGTCATAGAGCCCATGGGGTGAGCCTGTGAGATAGAACCAGTGTTTCCTAGTTCCCAGATTTGAGCTCGGTCCCTTCTCAGCTGTTTTGACCCCAGGGGTAGCGTACTCTGCTCTGATTTTGGGGGAAGTATGGGGAGGGGTCTCTCTCGAGTCCATCAAGAGCTTTCACATCCCACTAGTGTGTAGGGAGCTCTATCCTAGAGAATGTGGGAACTGTGACACAGAATTGCTTTTTATGACTTCTTTTTTGTCTCATAGCTCTGCTTTCTCAAAATTCAGGCCTTCCTCAAGAAAAGAGCTGAGAGGAGGAAGAAAGGATGGCGTCTGTGCTCCTGGCAGCTAGGTCCAAGGTGAGTTAGGCTTTCTTCTCTGAAATGCTGTCTCATCTTCTAGACCTTGGGGATGTTTCTTTCTCTTGCCTTCGATTCCATCATGGCTCAGCCGGGAATCTGAGCCACAGAAAGCCGTGGCTATTCTGATGAATGACTTGACATTAATAGAGTTTTCACGTGCGTGTTCCTCAGAGGGAATCCAACCTCCCTGATTTAACAGCAGGGAACGCGCCGAGGCAGGTTGGCAAACACCGCGTTGTTCGCTTGCCTGGTGTTCTCTGAATCCCAGAGTTGGAAAGGCCGTGAGGCTGTGTGGATCGTCCTGCTGGTGAATGAGAATCCCATTTATAAAATAAAAGACAAAAGGAAATACAGGTGTGACTGCTGTCGAGGCCACCAGGCTGGATTTTGGTCGTCACCATTTCCACTGCTGTCGTCCCTTTAATGGTATGCTCAGGAATCTTGCCAGGTAGCAAAGCGATTGAATGAAAATAAGCAAGCCGACTTCACACCCGAGAGCAGAAGGTGATTATTGTCCAGGTGCCGTGAAAGGCTTTAAAACTGGAGCTGTGACTTCTCAGGGGTGAAGTCCGCTTGGCTCATTTCATTCCTTCTTTTTCTTTTTTGACTTGCCCCCTTCTAAGGGATTTCCTAGCACCCTTCCAAAGTGATCTTCTAGTCTCATGCCACCTTATGCATAAAAGTCTCAAAACTTTAAATCCATTATATTCTTAATCTTAGTATAAGGGAAAAAAATGCCTGCTTGGAGTCTGCAGCGTTCCTTGAATGGCCAGGTCATCCTGACCTCCAGTCCTTCTGACAGCATTCTTTTAGGGCCGTGTTCCACTTTTGTATTAATTGTCCATTACTTGCATCTTTTTAGATGCTTTTCTGTGCCTATGTTGGTGTCACTTTCAAACTTTGACAATGAAGAGATATTTGGAAGGAATGAGCAGGGTCATGTGAGCACACACGTGTTTTTTGAAAACTGGTAACTACTGATTGAAACTGAAAATAAAGGCATAAGAAACAAAACTTAAAGCCAGAAAAAAGAAAAATAATTCAGGGTCATTGGACATCTTGGTTCCATCTACATAATAATAGTAAGTGCTTATTAAGAGCCTGCTATTTGCCAGGCACTGAGCTGAAGCGCTGGGGGTACAGAAAGAGGCAGAAGACAGCCCTTGCTCTTAAGCAGCCGACAGTCAAATCACTTATGGAGTGTATTACAGATTGCAAATTGATTTTCTCAAAACAGAGTTAGAAACTAACAGAAGGAAACAGACTTAGTGAGGCGTGCATTACACAGTATAAGTTGTAGGTCCATGATTATCTGCCAAATTGCTTTTCATTTTTGCTAGCTGTTCTGTTTTTTAATTTTAAATTAACTTTTTTTTTCAATTTATCCCAAATCCGCTTTATTTTCCCTCCCTCTTCCTTGAGGGGAAGAAATCTATCCATTTGAAAAAGAGATAAAAATGAATTCCTATACATGACCAGAGAGAGAGAGAGAGTCAGAGAGATCTATATATATCTATATCTGTATCTACGTATGTCTCAATCTGTGCCCTGAGTCTGCCACCTCTCTGTCAGGATGTGGGCAGCATGTTTCATCATGAATCTTTGGAATCATGGTGAGTCGTTGTGTTGATCAGAGGTCTTGTCTTTCAAAGTTTTTTTATTTTTACAAGAGTTATGTAAATTGATCTTATAGTTCTATTTACTTCATTCTGCATCCTTTCATGCAAGTTTTCCCAGGTGTCTCTACATCCACCACAGCACAATAATATTCCATCACATTCATATATTGTAACTTGTTTAGCCATTCCCTAGTTGATGGACATCTCTCCTCAGTTTTTAGTTCTTTGCTATCACAGAAAGAGCTGCAATAAATATTTTTGTTTCCTTTTACCTCTTTGAGGTATAGACCTTGTAGTGGGATTGTTGATTCAAAGGGCATGGACAGTTTAGTAAATTTTGAGGCATAGTTCCAAATTGCTTTCCTGAATGGCCAGACCATTAATATACTGTTTTCCCATAGCTCCTTTAGCATTTGTTATTTTTCCTTTTTTGTCAACGTTACCAATCTGATGGGTATGAGGTAGTACCTTGGGGTTGTTTTGATTTTCATTTCTCTAATTAGTAGTGATTTAGAGCATTATTTCACATGCCTATTGATAGCTTGGATTTCTTCCCCTGAAAACTGCCTTTGACCGTTTATCAATTGGGGAATGGCTCTTATAAATTTGAATTAAGTCTTTATATATCTTGGAAATGAGACCCTTATCAGAGAAACTTAATACTAAGGATTTTTCCCCACTTACCTGCTTCTCTTCTAATTTAATTGTATTGGTTTTGTTTGTACAAAACCTTTTAAATTTTATGTAATCAAAATTATCCCGTTTAACCTTTCTGTGACCATCTCTAATCTTTGGGTACGAACTCTTCCCTTGTCCAGAGATCAGACAGGTAATTTTTTTTCCTTGGTCCTCTATCTAATTAGTTTATGATGTCGCCCTTTCCATCTAAATTATGTACCCATGTGGAGCTCATCTTGGTATTTCACTTCTGTTTGCCTCAGTTACCTCATCTATAAAGTGGGGATAATAACAGCACCTGCATCCCAGGGTTGTTGTGAGGAGCAAATAAGACCTTAATTGTAAAGCATTCGGCGCAGCACCTGGCACGCAGCAAACACTGTAAATGTTAGTTGTTGATATTATTATGTAGCGTACAATGTTGGTTTACGCCTAGTTTCTGTCAGACTGCTTTCCAGTTTTTCCGATATTTTTTTTTAAACGGCGAGTTCTCACTCTTCTAGCTGAATTTCCTCGCCTGTCTGCCTGGGATAAAGTGCCCTTCTTGCAGTCATTGCGGATCTTTTGGTTTGTTATCCATGAGCCTTCTTCTCCTGAAGTCTTTAGAACTGATTTGCTTTTCTACGTTTCGTCCATACCAGATAGTTTTTGGTAATTACTGCTTTGTATCATAGTTTAAAGCTCCATGAGGGCCAAGCCCTCATTCTTCTATTACTTTCAGTATATTTGTCCAAATGTTACTTTGTCTAACTGTAAAGGTCTCCTTTGCAATTTGACTGGCATAGCTCTAAGTGTGCCTGAGAACCATCAGGTAGTGAAAGGCCTTGAGTCCGTGTTGTGTGGCAGTAGGCTAAAGGAGCTGTGGGTGGTTAGGCAGTAGAAAAGGAGGTGTGTGTGTGCGTGTGCATGCGTGTATGTGCACGCACACAAGTGCCCTTATGTGGGGGGGAGGCAGGGTTGGAAGGAGAGGGTGGTGGGCTTCAGATAGCGATTCAGCTTGCTCTGTTTGGGCCCAGAGAGAGGGTGGTACTAGGATCAGTGGGTGGAAGTTGGAAAAAGGAAGATTTAACTTGATGTCTTAAATATTTTCCTAACAATTTATGCTATTCAGTCATTCAGTCGTGTCCGACTCTCCGTGTCCCCGTTGGGGGTTTTCTTGGCAGAGATACTGCAGTGGTTTGCCATTTCCTTCTCCAGCTCATTTGATAGATGAGGAAGCTGAGGCAAACAGAGTTAAGTGACTTGACCAGGGTCACACAGCTAGTGAGTGTCTGAGGCCAGATTTGAACTCAGGAAGAAGAGTCTTCCTGCCTCCAGGCCTGGCGCTCTATCCGCTGCACCACCCAGCTGTCCAAAAGTGGAATGGAACCCTTCAGGAGGTGAGGGGTGTTTCCTCACTGTCTGTCTTCACACAGGCTGGAGGGCCACCTGTCGCAGGTGTTATAGTTGGGAGCTTCTTTTCAGGTGGGAGATGAGCTAGATTTAGGCCTTGGGGTCCTCCTCTGTTCTGTGCTTATCTGAAATGTGTTAATTTGGAAGTAGTATTCTTTAAAAAAAAAAAAATCGAGGTAGCCCAGCCACGAACATTGTATCTTTCTTGTTACTGCTGTCTGTGTCCTCCTCCTATAGTGTGTCATGTGGCACGCTTTGTGTCTCCCTGAGCACCCCCTCACTGTTCTGTGCATTGTAGGGTCATCAAAGGAAGACATTCTGCGCTTTGGCTGGGGGGCCTTGAATAAGAAAAGCCGTGGTTTGGGTGAGAGAGCAGGGCCACATTGCTGGTTAAATAGAGGGAGAATGCCCTCCGTTCCCACCCCCAGCCCTTAAATGCAGCTTATTCTCTGTTTTCTGATTTTACCCAAAACTTGGGGATCAGTGATGGAGAGTGATTATTATGATGTAGCTCCTTAGAAATTAGTTATGTGTGGTGTGACAATTGATGTCAGTGTTGTCTACCTGATTCTACAGATAGATGGGTTTGGGGGTGTCAATTTGAGGCTTTTGGGGTATTCAGGAATGAAGCAAGAGATTGGCTTGGGGCTCTCTTTGTAAGCCAGTTTTCAGGGATGAATTGGGGCAGTTACATACAACAGTCTACATGATGGAGAGTGTGGTCTGAAGTGAGACACCATCTCTGGTGTGGAGAATAAAGGGGCTTGAGGAAATATTTGACACACAATATGTAAAAGGCTTAGCGCCCTCTCCACCTCTCGTGCTCCCTTTGCCAGCTTCATGTCTCTTCTGTGGTCTGTAGGAGGTGGTTGGGCCCTGGATGAGCAGAAATGTTTGTGTTTCAGAAATCGTTGACATTCAAGGATGTGGCTGTGGACTTCACCAAAGAGGAGTGGAGACAACTGAACCCCTCGCAGAGAGATATGTACAGAGATGTGATGCTGGAGAACTATGAGAACCTCGTCTTTCTGGGTAAGGAGGTGTTCCTCTGGGAATCAGTCCCTGGGGCTGTGTGGGCATTCTCATCTGAATTTAGGTTGTGGAACATCTGAATCACTCAGCTGAGTTTTAGTTTGGTTTTCAGGGCGGTTCAAGAACCCTCATCATAGTGGGAGCTGCCTGAATTCTGTATGGCAAACAAAACATTTCTATTCTCTCTTTCCTAGTGAAGACTTTTAAATAAGAAAACTGGAAAGCTTGTGTCTCCACTGTGCATCCCATAAGGCAACATCTTTGGTTTTCCCCAGGTCTTAGCTTGTCCTGTAAAGTCCCACGGTAGATACCTTAAGATGTGAAAGGTTCCCATTAACTTAACAATCGAGTGAGTCAAATGAACCAGTTTTCTTTATGAGCTTAAATCAAATCTTAACCCCAGCCCCTGCGGCCCCTTCCATCCCCCCATTATTTCCTAAGACTACGATACATAGCATCCTGTAGAGGTCTTTAGTCTAGCCCACTCTTGCCCTTCCTACTGTGTTCTTTTTTCCTTAAGGAGAGGAGAGTTGTAGGATTGAAATGTGAGCTATCTTTCTATTCTCAGCAGTTTTCCCCATTTATTTCTCTGTGAGTAGGGCTTTTAGGTTCTCAACCAGATGTGATCTCCCAGCTGGAGAAAGGTGAAGTGCCGTGGGTGCCTGAGGGAGAAGTACCCAGAAGCCCTTGTCTAGGTGAGTGAATATAGGCTCCTCCCTCTCCCTAACCAGGAAGTACATGAGATCTCTGACATGTCTTAATTTTTTGTTTCAATAAATTGTTTTCTTGATGTCTCTGTCTTTTCATGTTTCATACAAAGTCTCACAAAATGAAGTCATCAGATTTTATCTCTTTTACTTCTGTCCTTCATTGTCCTTCCTATGTGATGGTCTTCTCTTTTTGAATGCTCAGTTCAGTTCAATTCAGGCTGGAGATTGACTCTTGGTCTTATGTTCTTGTATTTTCTCTGATATATCTTTCAGTGCTATTTTGTTTTTTACATTTTTGTCATCATTTTGTAGTTTGTTCTTCTGATTCTACTCATGTCTCAATTCCTTGAAATCCTCTCCAAGTTTCCTTAAATTCTTCAAAGGCATTGTTTCTTACTGCAAAATAATTCTTAAGCAAAAAAGGAAAAGAAAGAAAAGGAGGTCATTGTAGTATTTAAGAGAAAAATACCTAAGAGAATCAGAGGTTCAGAAGGAAGCCTAGACAAGCAGGACAGCTTTGAAAGTAGTGTGTTAAATTTATTTTATATATATATTTCTTAAAAAGTAAGAGGTTTGTAATAGAGACTTGCTGTTTCATTTGCAGTCATAGTTTTTCTGTTCTGTTTTTTAGTATATGATGCTTTTTTGGTGTTAAGGACAGTTTTTTTTTTTTTAAATGAGACATATTTAATGTTAAAAAAAAATCCATTTTATTCATGTGACATAACTTGTTCAACTGTTCCCTGATTGATGGGCTCTCTTTGTTTCTATCAGTTTGCTATTACAAAAAAAATTGCTTAAATTATTGAATTCTTTTCCATAGTCACATTGCTCATAATTGGCAGATTAGGGCTTAAATCCAGAACTTCCAACATGAAATTTAGTACTAATTCACTATGCCACAGTTTTTATGTTTCTCTCCTAACCTTCAGACATGCTTCAATGATGGAAAAAAGGGAGGGAAAGGAATAAGCATTTATTAAGTGCCTATTAATGTACCAGGCACTGTGCTAAGTGCTTTATAAATTATATTATCTCATTTGATCCTCACAGCAACCCCAAAGGTAAAAAAAAAAAAAAACAAAGCTATTTTACAGATAAGGAAACTGAGGCACATAGATTAAGGGACTTGCTTAGATCACACAGCTAGTAAATGTTTGAAGTCAGATTTGAACTGAGGTCTTCTTGACTCCAGGCCCATCTTTCTATTGCTCTATCTAGCTGCCTCTTCCATAATTGTAAAGCATTTAGATGGAATCTCCAAGTGGGAAGGGGCCTTGGAAATCATCTCCTTCATCCTGTCACCTAATGCAAGGCTTCACTCTACAATACCCCTGCTATGTAGACATCAAGCCTCTGTTTGGATACTTAAAAGAAGTAAGGAGGAGGTCCCAAAATTTTAACACATCAAATTCCATTTTGCACAACTTTTACTATTATGGTAGACTTCCCTCATGTTGGAATAAAAGTCTTCCTTCCTATGACTTTGGTTTTGTTTTGTCCTTTATCAAAACAGATAGTATTTAATGCCTTGAGAGACTTTCACATAGCCATGTTCTTGTCTGAGTCTTCTATTCTCTTGGCTACGCATTCCTAGTTCATTTGCCCTTTCTCCAGTAATATCATGTCTAGTTCTTCACCATTCTGCTAAATTCCTCTTTGCCTATTCCAGCTGTTTAACGTTCCCTTCCATGGGTGGTACCCAAAACTGGATTCAGAACTTCCAAAGTAATGTGAACAGTACAGTATATAGTGAGGTTGTTACTCTCTGTGAGTTGGACACCACGTCTTTTAATGAACTTTTAACATTGTGCTCATTAATCTTGCCGGATTATAACTTGACAGACAAATCTTCATTTTGTCCACATTACCACAGTGATATCTTGAAAGATTTTGATGAAAATGTTGCCAAAATCTAAAAGCCCAAAGTATCTGCTATGTCTTAATCAATTAGTTATAAAATTTTGTTATTAAAGGGAAATAAGAAATTTGGGGGTTTTGGCACATCTTGTTTTTGTTGAACTCTTGCTAGTTTCTAGTGGGCACTGCTTTATTTTCTCAGTATTTACAAAACCATTCATCTGTTTAAGACTAGAATTTTATGAGAAATTGGCATCAGGTTTACCAGTCCCTAATTTATAGAATCAAATCTGTTTCCTCTTTATGCAAATTTAAATTTTTTTGTTATTGGTGCCAACAGTGATTCTAAGGGAATAGAAGACTATGAATGTAACATATGTTTTAGATAAAAGGACAAGCCGAGAGAAAAAATATAGGCAAATGATGTTGATTTAGCTTTGTAGAATTTACCTTTGTTTAAATCAGTCAGCTAGTTGAGCTTCATTTATCTCAAACGATATTTGTTCTGTAGTTTGCAAATCTATGTTCTTTTTCCTTCCCGGAAAGCAATTTCTGTTTTGCCTTTCATGGAGCAGTGAAGCCCTTGAGTGTAATGTGAGTGGAAGAATAGGTCTTATGTGTCATAAGAGAATTCATACAAAAGAAAAGTTGTTTGAATGTAAAGAATGTGGGAAAGACTTTAGTAACTTTTTTTTGTTGTTGTTTTCTTTAGATTCTCTTATTCAGAATACTAGGCGTAAAATCACAGAATCAATTCCGAAGCAAGCTGTTTCTCTGGGAGAAGCATCCAAAGAAATACTCACAAAGGATAGATCTTGTAATGCCATATTGGGAGATGACTGGGAATGTGATGTCAAGTTACAGAGGCAGAAGGGTAACCAGCCAAGAAAGTCCAAGAAAATGACAGTCACCCATGAAAGCGGCATATTTGGGAAAAGTCTCAGTTCAGCATCATTACCTGTTCCACAGCAGAGAGCTGCCTCAGGAAAAAGTCTCCACGGATATGGGGGAAGTTCAAAGACCTCTAAGCAGTATTCAGGCATTCTCAAGTGTCATAAGATCTCTAGCAAGAAACTTTCTAAATCCAATAAATACAGGAAATCCTTCAGTTACCATTCAGATCTTATTCAATATCATAGAAAAGTTACTGGGAAAAAAACATGTGAATGTAGTGAGTGTGGGAAAGCCTTTAGCACCAGGTCATCTCTTAAAGGACATCTGAGACTTCATACTGGAGAGAGACCCTTTGTATGCAGTGAGTGTGGGAAAGCCTTCATTCAGAGGGCAAAACTGAATGTACATAAGAGAATTCATACTGGAGAGAAACCCTTTGTTTGTCATGAGTGTGGAAAAGCTTTCAGATACTCAATAAGTCTTACTGAACATAAGAGAATTCACACAGGAGAGAAACCTTTTGAATGTAAAGAATGTGGGAAAGCCTTCAGGCAAAGCTCAGCACTTAGGAGGCATCAGATAATTCATACTGGGGAGAAACCCTTTGTTTGTAATCTGTGTGGGAAAGCCTTCATAGAGAGTGGAAAACTTACTGCACATAAAAGAATTCACACAGGTGAGAAGCCCTTTCAGTGTAAAGAATGTGGGAAGACCTTTAGCTACATCTCATCCCTTAGAGATCATTGTAGGTTTCATACTGGAGAAAATAGACATGAATGTAATGAATGTGGGAAATCTTTCAGTAGAAGCACTTCACTTAAAGGCCACCAAAAAATTCATACAGGTGAGAAACCCTATGTGTGCAGTGAGTGTGGGAAAGCTTTCATAGAGAAAGTAAGACTTACTGAACATAAAAGAATTCATACTGGAGAGAAACCCTTTGAATGCAATGAATGTGGAAAAGCCTTCAGCCACAGCTCATCCCTTAGATACCATCGAAGACTTCATACTGGAGAGAAACGATACAAATGCAATGAGTGTGGGAAATGCTTCAGTGCAAGTTCAACACTTAGAAAGCATCAGAGAACTCATACTGGAGAGAAACCCTTTTCCTGTACTGAGTGTGGGAAAGCCTTCATAGAGCGAGGGAGGCTTACAGAACATATGAGAATTCATACTGGAGAGAAACCTTTTGAATGTAACGAATGTGGAAAGGCCTTTAGCTATACCACTAGTCTTACTGAACATCAGAGAATTCATACAGGAGAGAAACCTTTTGAATGTAGTGAATGTGGAAAGGCCTTCAGCCAAAGCTCAACACTTAGGACACATCAGTTAACACATACTGGAGAAAAGTCTTTTGAATGTAATGAATGTAAGAAAGCCTTCAGTAGCCGATCATCCTTGAAACTTCATTGGAGAATTCATACGGGAGAGAAAAAGTTTGAATGTAGTGAATGTGGGAAATCCTTTATCAGAAGCTCATCACTTATGAAGCATCAAAGGATTCACACTGGAGAAAAACCATTTGCATGCAGTGAATGTGGGAAAGCCTTCATAGAGAGAGGAAGACTTAATGAACATATGAGAATTCATACAGGAGAAAAACCCTTTGAATGTCACGAATGTGGAAAAGCCTTTAGCTATATAGCAAGTCTTACTGAACACAAGAGAATCCATACTGGAGAGAAGCCTCTTGAATGTAATGTGTGTGGAAAAGCCTTCCGCCACAGGATAGGTCTTACAGCTCATAAGAGAATTCATACAGAAGAAAAACCTTTTGAATGTAAAGAATGTGGGAAAGCCTTCAGTAACAGCTCAAACCTTATGATGCACTGGAGGCTTCATACAGGAGAGAAACCCTTTAAATGTAATGAATGTGGAAAAGCCTTCAGCAATAGCTCAAACCTTAGGACACATCAAAGACTTCATACTGGAGAGAAACCCTTTGATTGTAATCAGTGTGGGAAAGCCTTCAGAGAGAAAAGACAACTTACTCTACACAAGAGGATTCATACTGGAGAGAAGCCTTTTGAATGTAATGAATGTGGGAAAGCTTTCAGTTATCCCACAAGTCTTACTGAACATAAGAGAATTCATACTGGAGAGAAGCCCTTAGAATGTAATGAATGTGGGAAAACCTTCAGTCACAGTTCATCTTTTAGGAATCATAAGAAATGTCATATTAAAGAATAACAATATCTCTGAAACTAATACAGGAAACCTCTAGTAACAACTCATTCCTTTTGTACTTTTAGAAAATTCATGTTTTAAAGAACGAGAAGGTAACGTGAGAATTTTTTCAACAATTGCACATCGTTTAAGAGAACTGAGAGAATTTACAGAATCACAAAAACTATATAGTTTTGAGGGAACTTGGGGATCACAATCTATCTCATAGCAGTAGAATGTAAGGTACTTGACGGCAAGAATTATTGAATTTTTTTTTTTTTGTCTCTGGTTACCTAGCACCTAGCACAGAGTCTGGCATGTGGTAGGTGCCCAACAAATGCTGCCTAAACAAGAATGTACTATACAATATGCCTGAAAAGTGGGCTGGATGATTTGCTTGAAAATTGGATTCTGGAAGCCAAAATAGGCATTCAAAGCCCTTACTTTCACTCCAGCTATGGAATCCTATAACGAAAGAGTATCTCTCAGGGACTCAATTAAAACCAATGAGATGGTTGGAACAAGTGATATGACAGATATAGCAACATGGGTTTAAGAAAGCTTTTATACTTTTTTTTTTTTTTTTGTATTTGAAAAATAGAAGCCCATGAGATGAGACTTGTAGGGAGTTCAGAGCCATGAACTTTCCCTGGAGAATTGCCTGTTATGAATGTAAGGTGATTTGATTGAAGAGAACATAGAATACCTTTTTAATGGTAACAGAAAGTGATAGCTAAACTTCAGCAATCCAAAGATGTCCTCTGTGGACATATGGATCTTCCCCAAAGAATCTGGTTGACTCTTAATGACTTTCAAGCTTAGTTTCACAGATGCTGGAATTTTGATGTGAACTTGAAAAAAAAAGCTGGAATCATCCTATTAACAAAACAAGTATTGGAGATATTTGTCTAAAGAGACACCTGGGTATCTGCCTCCTGGCAAATGATTGTTGTGGATACTTCCATGATTCTGCATTAAACCTGTTCTGTGTGTGTTGTGTTGTGACACATGCATCTGAGTTTGTAGTTCAAATATATGTATGAATCAGTGTATTAAGAACTAATTTAGCTTAGGATTTATTCTCCCTTTCTTTACCACGCTACTACCAAATGCAAAATACCTAGAAAACTATCAGCCTTTTAACTCTGCATATGAGGAGGGAAGAGGGTTAACTACTTTTGCTGAAAGAAAATTTCCAGAAAGTGAGGACAATTGGAACTGTAGACTCAGAAGTTATAAAGGTTTATTTCCTCATGTATGGCCATGTTTCTGTGAGCTGAGTACAAACACCCCTTTTCCTGTCTAACCAGGAATTTTAAAGCTCTCTTCAGCATAAGACTAGTCCAGTAGAACCTGAGAAAGGTATTTTTATTACTCAGTCTTACCCTCTTTTACATATTTCAAATGGCAGCAACCACTTCTCTTTAATATTCTATCACTGTATTGCTTACTATTGGAAGTTATTATTAAAACTAAGTTTCTCATAAAAAGTAGTTATTCAGTGAGCCAGTTGTCAGTTTGATGAACCATGATTTGCATACTTCATTGTGAATTAAATTGTGTTTAATAAATATGCTTAATATTTTCATATGTTTTCAAAGAACAATGTTAGAATATGCTATTGAGCAAAATCTTCCAAGATGCTCTGTTGTTCAAGAGAAAAGATCCTAAGTTCAAAGGAATTCTGTTTCTAAAGATATGTTTTGGCCTTCCTAACTAAGCAGGCATAGACAAAATAGCTTTACAGCTTTGGAGCTTTGCTTTTAGTGAGTTGTGCGTATACAGGCAAGCTTTGGAATGCAGAAGTAGCAAATAAAGATACCTGACTAGTAGAGCAAAATTAGAAAAGAGCAGAGAAATAGTAAGCAGTACCAAGATCAGAGTAGGTTAAGACCATGATAGATAATATGGATTGAATCTGATTTCGTTGATCTAGAACTTCACGTGAAAAAATTCACTGTATCATTGCAGGTCTACACCTTTGAACATTGCCTAGAGTTCTGAGAAGTGAAATGATTTTCCATGGGGGAAGGGTGGGGTTCACAGCCAATATATTCAGAGGTGAAATTTCAGCTGGGAGCTTCCTGATTCAAAGGCTAGTTCTACCTAATCTGCTATATCCTGTCTGGGTAAGATAAACCATTTTAGAAAACTGGACCAATACAACAGCTTTGTCAATCTGGAGGTTTTACCCAATAGCTTAATTACTTGATGATTGAATCTTTGTAAAGTCTGAAGTTCTATATCAATGACAGATGTTATCCCCCTTGCTTACAGAAGAGCTTTCCTGTAACTACTAAGTGACAAATGTTTAAACTTAATGGATTCAACTTACCTAATTGAATGAATATATAATAAGTATTTTTAAGTTAAGAAGTTTCCCCTCCCCCTGCCTGAAGGGTACCACAGCCAGAGAGAAGGGAAGAATGACTTTGCAGTCAAGGCCTCCTTTGAGGACATCAAGATCAGAGCACACCTTTTGGAAACAGTGCAAATAATAAGATTTGAAGATATGTAAAATATCACCAAAAAACTTAAGTGGTGATTTTGCAGAGTTTAGAGGAAAGTTATTAGTACTAGTACAAAGATTGAACAGTGGCTATTGATTTGCTATTATTAGTGATTTTTCAGTTCAGAAAAACCTGTTGGCCCTATAGTCTGAATTGAAAATGATGAACTTTGATTTGTTTATTAGAAACTGGATTGCAGATTGCATGGACCTTTTGGGAATGTACATGATCTGGGACCATGGAAAAGAATGAGTGGATTGCCCTTACTGTTTTAATAGCTGTGTAAAGTTCTACTTATCCACTACTCTATGTTGACCCATCCTATAATGCTCTTTTTTGACTTCTCCTGCGAATGTTAGGTTTGAAATCTTTTAAGGTGATTATCTGGCTTGTCCTGTATGAATGATATCAGGAGTGAGAAGCCTGCTAGATATAAGAAGTGATGCTGCTGCTAATACCTGGCATTTGTAGAGAGCTTTAAGGTTTACAGAGTGCTTTATGGACATTATCTTGTTTCCACCTCAAAATCCTGTGAGAAGTTAGCCGTATTTTACAGATAATGAAGAAACTGACTAGAGTGTTTGTTAGCCTTTGAGTCAGGGAGACCACCTTGAACAATAACTTGAGATGGTTTTCTTCATGTCAAATGGTGATCATATTGTCTGTGGGAAGATATGTCACAGTGTTGTTGTGAGATTCAAATAAGATAATCATATAAAATGCTTTGTAAAGTACTATATCAATGTCAGCTCTTAGAGGTGTGATAATTAAGTCTATAAAACCGGTGCCAATTGTTTGATCTTTTGCAATGATTGGATTATGAACCGTAGAATTGACTATATAAGGTGGAACCCACTAAAGGTTCCTTATTTGGCCAAGAACCTGTTTTGGCCTTTGAATTTCACATTGCTTCAGGTATCTGAGAAGTAGATTCACTAAATTAGAAAACAAACTGGTTCTCAAAGCTAATGGTTGGGGTGAGCACTAATGAAGAAGCAATTGGCTAATAAAGGGAGGATGTCAGCAGGTTTCTTACTGGAGTGCTCATCAAAGACAGAGAAATTGTAGTTGTGGCTCTGAGTGGCACATTAATTCTTGAATGCATTCCAGGAAAGCATGGAGCAGTGGGAGAGACTAGTGGCAGGATTTCTGAAAACTCAGTGATTTCCCTTCCTTGATCATCTGGTTGACCATCAACTTGACTGCTGTACCCTTTAGTTAATATGAAGAGTATTGTGTGAACCCACATTTCCAAAACTAAATTTTACCCAATATTGAAAACATGATTAAAAGGAAATAGGTCCGGAAGATTTGCACAAGGTCAGGATATTATTTCTAGGCCAAAACTGCAGAACATAAACAATGTCACCACAATTGTCCCTTTCTCCCATATTCATGGTACAGTGTTCTGGTCTTGATTATCTGCAAAGGCTCTTTAATGATTAGTATTATGTTAACTTCTATTACATTGTTTAAATATGAAAAGGCTCAAATAATCCTGGGCTAGGGAAAAAAAAATACTAAGGGCTGAACTAATGGGTTAAAACTTATATATGAGGTGATGGAAAGTAAGTAGAATGTCTTGGGATTATCTTAAGATACATCCTAGAACAAGATACACAGGAAAAGAAGAGATAAAGTTGACTCAAGCTGGCTGCACACAAGTTATGCCGTAAGTTGGAAAACTAATAGAATCTGAACATCAGTTATGTTGAACCTACCATCTCACCACTAAAGAGTGCTTGGATGGATGACAGCAGCCAGCTTTGTCCTAGAGCAGGGGTTCTTAACTTTTTTGTATCATGGACCTTGGTGGCAGCTTGGTGAAATCTATAGTTATGTCTCAGAATATTTTTAATGCTTAAAATGACTAGTATTACAAAGGAAACCACCTATATTGAAATAATTATAAGAATAATGAAAAAAGCATATAGATCCTAGAATAAGAACACCTAGAGCATGGAGGGTACTCTTTCCCCTTTATATTTTGGGCTCTTCAGATTTTGTGTGAAATGTGAGAAATGCAGAGAATAAAGGTCCTGTATCCCAAGTACAGAGGTACTAGGACTCAGGGGAGGGAGCTCTGTATTGATTGTGTTCAATGGCAGCTGTTGATGTCCTTTGCCTGCAAACTTCTTTATTTTCGCTATTGTTTTAAGTAAAATTACTTTGTTTTTTAACTGTGTCTGTTTCTTGTGATAACCTGGTCCAGCCAACATCCCTCTTTGTAGTTCACAGGAGGTGAGGAACCATTTAGCTGAACTTGGTTGCAAGCAGGTTTTTCAGGAAATTGTAGCATGATGGCTAAAGTGAGAGGGTATGTATAAGCCCTTCTGCTCATGACTTCCAAATAGCTAAACATGTATCCAAAATAAAGATGCATTTATAAAATTCTAAAACTTCTTTAAAAAGGGAAAAAATGCGGTAGAGAGACTGAGTTAATGATGATCGAACCAATTTGCTGATAAAACAAATACCATGGGCTAATAGAATTGTGGGAGAAATCTTCAGAAGAAAGTATTTTTATAAGCATCTAAGAAAAGAGGCAGCAAATGCCATCATATCTCAGAGAGTTACTGGAGGACTTAATATTATAATTGAAAGAAGAGCTGAGGAAGCTGGAGCTTTGGTTTCTTTGGATAGGAGCTGGAAAACTTTGGTAAAATAGTGGACACCCTGAAAAAAAGAATGGAGGGAACTGTTGGTGTGTTAGAAGTTAATGATTGGGGCAGCTAGGTGGCGCAGTGGATAGAGTACCGGCCCTGAAGTCAGGAGGACCTGAGTTCAAATCTGCCCTCAGACCAATCACTTGACAATTACTAGCTGTGTGACCCTGGGCAAGTCACTGAACCCCAATTGCCTTAAAAAAAAAAAAGTCAATGATAGTACAGGAATTAGAGCAAAGCCAAAAGAGCAAAGTTTTAAGAAGGTGTCTTACAAGAGCTTTACCACAAAAATCAGTTGGCCTGGAAAATTGGTCTTGAAGTTAAAAATCATGTCTCCTAGAAAATGATAATAAATCCACAAGTCTGAATAAAGAGTGAAAAACTATGCTTTACTCATCCAGTAATGTGATAGCCAACTGGGAAAACTTGGCTCAAAGAAAACACTGCAAATAACTAGGAAGAGACCACATACTAAGTAGTTACACTTAAACAATAGTACTCATCAATGAGAGTAAGATCCTAATTATATAGTAAAAAGCAAAGAAAAATAGTTGGCATCAAAAATTATATTCGTAATAATGCATAATTCTGTGAATAGAGAATTAAATTTTTTGACAGTTGATCACTTGTAAGCATCCCTTTTGGGAAAAGGGACAAGAGTTGGGCAGTCTTAATTACAGTGGTGCTAGATAATGATCCAGTACTTACAATATCATGAGGAGAAAAGATTACTCTGTAGAAAATCCCATTCTGTCAAAACATAAAGTCTCTGAGTTTGGATGTTTAAAAAGAAAGTCAAGAGGATGAGGAAAAGGACTTTCTTGAAGTTGGGGTGCCATAGGTAGTTCTTTAAAACTTAGAGGGGTAGGAAGAGGGCATCTTATGAATCATACCCATATCTGGGCGGGAGAATTAAAAAGTTGTAATGAGATAAGACCATAGATTTTGGGATAGCAGTTCAGTGGTTATCTAGTTTAGACCTGTCCTTTTATAATTGAGCAGAGTCCAGAGAAAGTGAAGGACCTGAGTAAGGTCAGAGGGGTACTAACTATCAGAAAGGAGATTGTAAATCTAAAACTCCTTCCAGGGACCCCATGGTGCAGGAATGAGGGATTCTCATGAGTCACTTCCTTATCTTGTACTGGCAAGAGGAGGTTAAAAAAAAAAAACCAACCAACAACCCTGTAACAACAATTGGAATTCATCTCAAAACAAACCTGAAGCATTTGTCAGTGCTTGGGCTAATATGAATTAAAATACAGTTAAGACTTTTGGCTCTCCCCACTGAGAAAGCTGGAAGGCTTCAAATAGCTGTCTACCCAGGCAAAGCTGAAATCTCAAGTTGTGTTAAAACTTGGAATGAACAATAAAGATTTAATGAACTTGATGAAGTTTGTGGGGAATTCAGTCCCAAGTTCTTAAGTTCCA